AAAAAAAAAAAAAAAAACATATATTATTACTCACATTTTACAGATGAGAAGCTCAAAGAAGAGAGATCAATTGCCCATGGACACACAGCTTCCTAACAGCACAGTAAGAATTGGAACTCGTTTGCCTGATGCCACAGTACCCAGCTCTGCCATTACCCTACAGCTACATATTGCCTCCATTCACACATGGGGACATGACAGGCTTACTCAAACGTGAACACCAGAGAAAATCAACAAGGACAAACCTATACCTTTCTGTTACCTTTTTAGCTTAAATGTAGTATTTCTAATATCAGATACCTTTAAATAAAATGCATGAAAACTGAACATGATTCTTACATATTGCCCACCCACACAAAAAACTGAAACATGATTACTGCTTAATCTTGAAAATAGTTTTTCTTCCTACCACATATGCTACGATATTTATAAATTAAATTAAGGCTGTATTTTAATATAATGGTCTAAAATCCATTTTCAATTAGTAATTACTATTTAGTATTTTCTTTTTAAGTTTGGTAACTTTAAACAGTGACATTCAGTGACTCCTACTGACTTAACTTCCAAATTATTAAACCACATATTTGACTTTAAAAATCTACTGATTCAACACGGAGTTCAAAATAATTCTTTCAAACCTGTTAACAAGAGACCTTTAGTTTAAGTATCCAAGTAAATTGTTTATCCCCACATTTACCCAACTGAAGTAACACTAAAAGGATATTCAAAGAAGCCTTTCAGCAGAATGCAAATGTGAGACAATAATGAATTTAGGACTTCTGAGCTCTACCATTCACATGAACTTCATGTCAAAACCCACATTTCTTCTGAACTAGTATAATGTATAGTAATACAATCACTAGTTTATTTTTTAGAACTGTTTCCTTTTCTACACTGAGAACTATTTTTAACTTGATACTTACAGTTATCTTCCACATCCTTTTTACTGTCCTCTTCTGCAGGAAACACTTGGTTTATGAGAGCCAAAAACGTCTAACAAACAAAACAGAAGCTCATTAAACTAGAGACTTAAAAATAGAGAAAAAAATAAAGCAGCTTAATTGGTTGCATACCTTGTAATAATGGCAACAACATCTTCTTCATTAAAACATAGTAAAAGATGCTGCTACTTAAGAAGTCACTAACCCAAAAACAGGGTAACTACTCAAATGTAGTATCCATTATTGCCCTGGATACAAAATTAATAAAGGAAATCAGTGAATAAGCATCTTAAGCTTTAACAATTAGAGTGAGGTAAAACAAGAAGTATATATATATAGATAGATAGATAGACAGACAGACAGACAGATAGATACATACAAATATAGGAGCTCTGGTGGTTTAGTGTCTAAGGCATTTGACTGCTCACCAGAAGGCTGGCAGTTCAAATCCACCAGTCACTCCACAGAAGGAAGGTTGGGCAGTCTGTTTCCGTAGCGATACTGCCCTCAAAAAACCAAGGAGGGGTCGCTATGAGTCGGATCTGACTCAACAGCACATAACAACAACATATAAATATATATAAATATATATATATATATATATATATATATATATATATATATAAATTTTACTGTTTTAAAGAAAGGAAAAAGTAAATCAGCTATACAATAGAACATATTATCATTTGATTAATATTATTGTTTGAGTAAAACATAAAGAAATGTGCCAAATACATAAGCAGTATACAAAATAGTTGGTCAAAAAAAATTACAGATACCCATAAATACAAACAAATGGTGCATTGCTGTATTACTTATTAGTTATGGATGACACTCTAGAATTAAGATATCTTGTAAGAGAAAACAAACGATCTCGTATGACAGCTAAAGAGAATTAAGTTTTATCCATGTTTTAGTCTAATCAAAACAAAACAACAACAACTAAAAAACTCACTGTCATTGAGTCGACTGTGACTCACAGCAACCCTTTAGGACTGAGTAGAACTGCCCCACATAGTTAGCCAAGGCTGTACATCTTTACAGAAGCAGACTGTCTCATCTTTTTCCCACAAAGTGACTGGTGGGTTCAAACTGCTGACCTTCTGGGTTAACACTGGGTTGCACTCCAATGCTTTAACCACAGTGCCACTAGAACTGTTATTCTAGCAGTTACCTATAAATTTATACTTGGCAAACAATTATATTTATTTTTGTGTTTCAATTTTTCGTCCACAACAAATAAAACTCTAAGGAAAAGTGGATAAACTGTTTTAAAATATCATTTGTAAGCCTGTATATATGCAGTAACATAAAACAAGGCTATTGATATTTATAGAGTGAAATCCTATTAGGACTTCCTCAGCTCAAGTCATACCCATCTTGGAAAATTATTATACTCTAAACTCCAGAAAATTATTATTTGGAACCTAGTATACATTTTCTTAAATATTATACATGTGCAAAAGTTTGGAGGGCAGACCACAAAATCAGAATTAATCTGCAATGTACGTTTAGTATAATAATGGTACTAAAAAGGTAATTCCCACCCCTTGTTTGTTGGCTTGTCATACTGTGATGGCTAGTGTGTGGTTATGATGCTGGAAGCTATGCCACTAGTATTTCAAATACCAGCAGAGTCACTCATGGTAGACAGGTTTCAGCAGAACTTTCAGACTAAGACTAGGACGAAAGACCTGGCAATCTACTGCTAAAACTGGCTAGTGAAAACCATATGAATATCAACACAATATTGACTAATGTAATGCTAGAATATGAGCCCCCTCAGTTGGAAGGCACTCAAAATATGAGTAGGTAGGAGCTGCCTCCTCAAAGCAGAGTCGTGAATGGAGTAAAGTTCTCAGGACCCTCATTTGCTGATGCAGCGTGACTGAAGATGAGACCGAACAGCTGCAAACATCCATTTATCATCAGAATGTAGAATGTACAAAGTATGAATCTAGGAAAACTAGAAGTTGTAGATCTCCTAGGCATTACTAGTCTGAAGTGGCCAGGTACTGGTCATATTGAATCAGACAACCGTATGGTCTACTACACCAGGAATGATAAATTGAAGAGGAACAGCATTGCATTCACTGTCAGAAAGAACGTTTCAAGATCTGTGTTAAACTGCAACACTGTCAGAAACAAGATGATATCCGTATATCTACAAGGAAGACCAGTTAATATGACTATTATCCAAATTTATGTACCTACCACTAATGCCAAAGATGAAAAAATTGAACATTTTTACCAACTTGGCAGGCTAAAATTGATCAAAGTGCACTCAAGATACACTAATAATTACTGGTGGTGGGAATGCAACAGTTGGAAACAGAACCGTAACTGGAAAACATGGCCTTTGTGAGTGATATATGCCAGAGATAGCATGGTGAAACTTTGCAAGACCTAGAACCTATTCATTGGAAATACCTTTGTTCAATGACATAAATGGTGACTATACATTTGGACTTCACCAGATAGAATACAAAGGAAAGAAACTGGCTACATCTGGAGAAAGATGACAGAGAAGCTCATTATTACCAGTCAGAAGGTCAGGATTGACTGCAGAAGAGATCATCAACTGTTCACATACAAGTTCAAGATAAAGCAGAAGAAAATTAAAACAAGTCTTTGTTTCATCCTAGCAACTTGTACACAATGCAATCCACAGCCTATATGACTATAAGACCAGAAGAACTAGATGATGCCCAGCTACCACTGTCAACCACTCGGAGGGGGATCTATGTAGGAGATCTTGGATAGAGAGGGAGAACAATACGGAACAAAAGTCAAAATCATTTGGGAAAAGAAAAGGGGGAGACCAGGTTTGCTGGTCTGATAAGAGCCTGGTGGAACCACTGAGACTATGGTCCCTAGCTGCCCTTCAGGTCTGGAATTGAACTCACACCTGTGGCTTCCAGCCAAACAAAAGACAGCCATATGAGCTGAACATTTACCTGAGGTAGATATACTCTTTGGAAAGAACAATCATGGGAGAAAGAAGGGCTGTTTAAGCACAGAAGACAGCTCAGGGGGCAGGAATAAATGGAGGGACACAGGGAAGAGGTAAGTATCAGGAGGAAGTGGGAGGGAAGCTGTTGCATTGGGGTAAATTGTAGTCAATGTCATGAGACAAAGCGTATGTGAATTGCTGTATGGAAAGTGAATTTGCTCTGTAAACTTTCACCCAAATCACAATTAAAAAAAAAAAAAAGTCTATGTTTTTATCCCACTGAACTTACAGATCATCTCAAAAATATAATGATTTGACAGAATATAATGACTGAAGACCAAATGACTCACAGGATGATGTCAAGAACATAATACATGAAGAATTTAAAAGACAATTGAGACCATCTAAGAAGCAACTATTGCTCTCTTCTCCTCCTCCAGAGCAAAGAAGAGTGAAGAAAATTGAACACTCAGGAAACTCTAAGGTCTACTGTGATCCTGATTAGTGCAGTCAATAGTAGTAGTCTCCACTACTCTGAGACCAGAAGAACAAGATGGTGCCCAGCTACCACTACTGACTGCACTGCTCAGGATCACAGTAGAAAGTCCTGGACAGAGAAGGGGGGGAAAAAAGAAGAACACAATTCAAACATCATTTAAAAAAAAAAAAAAAAAAAAGACCAGACTTAATAAAATGAATGCCAGAAGAGACCATGAAACTTGCTCTTGAATGCCAGTAGCTAAAGCAAATGGAAGAAATAATGAAGTAAAAGAGCTAAACAGAGTATTTCAAAGAACAGCTCGAGAAGACAAAGACCTGGAGTTAGAAAATTAAAACACTCAACATTTCCCAAGGTGAAAGAACTGATGAAAAACACACAAGTTTTGAATTATAATATTGTTGAATTCTACTGGCAAAATAGTGAATGATGCAGGAAGCATCCAAAGAAGATGAAAGGTATACAGAGAATCACTATATAAAAAAGTGGTCAATATTCAACCATTTCAGGAGGTAGCACTTGGTCAAGAACCAACAGTACTGAAGGAAAAAGTACAAACTGCACTGAAAGCATGGGAAAAGCAAGGCTTCAGGAATTAACAGAACACCAATTCACGTGTGTCAGACTGGGTTCTCTAGAGAAGCAGAACCAGTAAAGCTTACACAGACAGAGAGAGAGAAAGAGAAATTTGTCTTAAGAAAATGGCTCACACACTTATAGAAGCTGGCAAGTCCCAAGTTCTTGGATCAAACATCAAGCTGGAGGCTTTTCCTGACTCGTGCTCCTGCAGGGGCTGAGGAGCTCAAGGTTGGCAGGCAGTATACTGGCTGTTGACTCCAACGAATGACGAATCCAGTATCTCCAGGCTGAACAGTTCTCTCACAGACAGTTGTAGGCAGCACAACAGAATCCCAATCCACAGAAGAGTGTCTCTTTTCCCAGGATGTCCATAAATATACTGGAAGCAGGCCACACCCCTAGGGAAACTCCCTTTCAATGGATTGGCTGCTCAAAACATATACAACTGATCCCATCATTGGAACAACCCACATCACAATTGCTTAAACTACAGAGAACTGTTGTCTAGCCAAGTTGACACACAGCTCCAACTACCAGAACATGTTTCAACAAACAGATCTAATGCTAGAAGTATTCACTTCTTTATGCCAAGAAATTTCTAAGACCACTACAGGCTAATAGACTAGAAAACATCCATAGTTATGCCCATTCCAAATAAAGGTAAACTAATGGAATGTGGAAATTATTAAACAATATAATTAATATCACATGCAAGTAAAATTTTGCTGCACATAATTGAAAAACAGTTGCAGCAGTACATCAGCAGGGAAGTGCCAGATATTCAAGAGGATTCAGAAGAGGATGTAGAACAAGGGTTACCAATGCTGACATCATACGGATCATGGATGAAAGCAAAGAATACCAGAAAGATGGTTACCTGTGTTCTACTGACTATGAAAAGGGATTCAACTGTGGGGATCACAACAAATTATGAAAAATATTGCAAAAAATGGGAATTCCAGAACACAACTGTGCTCATGAGGAACTTGTACATAGAGTGAGAGGCAGTTGCTCGAAAAGA